CAGACGTTTAACGACTGAGCCACCCAGGTGCCCCAGGATATGAATTTTTATTTTAAACTAGTTTTTTGTACCTTTTTGCACCATTTCTGTTATTTTTATTCATATGGTTTAAAGAAAAAACAAAAAAGACTATATGTTTAATTTATTGCCCCACCTATCAACATATAATGAACATCTTTCTGTATTAGTAAATATATTCCATAATAGTACATTGTTTCCTGGATTTTAAATAGGCTTTTAAAAAGATTGTAAAAAAAATAATAAAAAATAAAATAAAATAAGAAGGTAGTTAAAAGTCAAGCACATATAGAAACTTCAGGTTACCTAGAAAAGTATTTGAAAAAGATGGGGGAAAAAATCACTAAAATTTAACCCTTCCGCGTTAACTCTATTAACTTTTTGGTGAATGTCCTCCAAATATTTCTGTGTACGCTTACACACCAACACCATTCTAAAATCTACGTGGTTTTATTACGTTTTCCTCCCATTAAACCATGTGTTTTGGAGAACACATGGAGTGAAGTAGGTACACACAGTCCTTTTAATATCTGCATAATATCCTATGTCATTTATCTTGCCATGATTTTTATTTGTTTCCATTGCCTCTTTTTTTTTTTTTTTTTTAAAGATTTTATTTATTTGACAGACACAGTGAGAGGGAACACAAGCAGGGAGAGTGGGAGAGGGAGAAGCAGGCCCCCCGCCAAGCAGGGAGCCTGATGCGGGGCTCGATCCCAGGACCCTGGGATCATGACCTGAGCCGAAGGCAGACGCTTAACTGACTGAGCCACCCAGGCGCCCTGTTTCCATTGCCTCTTGTACTGTGCTTTAAGGTTGACCCCTTTTTGGGTGTGGAAAGAGACGGTCATTCGGGTTACTTGAAGGAAAGAGAGCGTGAGAACAGCTCCGCGAGGCCCAGACTCGGCCAAGGCCACTGTGGGGATGCGGCCCCTCGGTCTCGGTCGGGTCTGCTTCTGTCTGGGGCCTGCCCTGTCCTCCCCTGGCCCGCTCTCTGCTCCGCACTCTGGCTGCCCGGTGGCTGCTCACCTCTGGCTTCTGGACCCTCGTCCCTCTTAGACTTCAGCAGGTTATGTCCTTTCCCTGCTGGGAACTCCCCGCTGACCCTGTCGCACTGTGGAGGCCGCTGGGCCTGCTGCCGTGCCCCTCCCCGGTCCCAGCCACGCGGGCCGCCCTGCCGGACCTCTCCCACATGGCTCTCAGCACACCTTAGCATTCTTTACCCTTGTTACGTTTCTTCCCTCAAGTCCTTTGGAGGCAAGAACCTAAAACGCGTGGGGATCATCCTTCAAAGAGGAATCCTCATCTTGATGCTGTGTTGCTTTCCTTGCTGGGCCCTCTTCATCAATACGGAGCGCATCCTCCTGCTCTTGAAACAAGACCCCGAAGTCTCCAGGTCAGCAGCGTCTCTTAACGTCAGAACCCTAGGTTCAGAGTAAGTCACTGTCTGGTCCTCTTACCCATGTTGACATGTTCAGCCAATTCCCTGGACTCGAACTCCGTGGCAAATGGAAGCTGTGACGTGCAGACCACAGGATAGAGGGCTGGTGGGGTCCACCTGACACGGGGTGACACGGTGACCTGGTGCTGTGCCCAAAGTGAAAAGCTACAAGACAAGAATGTAATACCCTTGGCCCGAGTCGACCTTTCCCAGAGTTCCTCCATTGTGGTGTTTTGCAAACGCACAGAGTATCTCTCTCCTCCCAGAGCAGAATAGGAACACAGTTGCCTTCATTTTTGTTTTTAGAGTTGGGTTTTTTTTAAACCTACAATTCCAGCAAGCTCTCTGGGATCGTCTTCAGGGTACGTGGGGTCCAGGGAGGCATCTCTCCTTTTCTAGAAGACCGTTCCTCTGGCTTTAGTGTGAGATACACCTACAGTCCTGACTCAAAACGTTTCTAAATTTTGCCCAACTTTCAGTTCATTTTGCTGTGTTCATTCTACCTTTTCTGCTAAGAAGGAGCTGAAAGATGTGAAGTCCGGCTTCCCTTTAGAAAGCAGACCCTCAGCAGGCCTGATGTAGTGTTAATTTGGGTTGTAGAAAAGGTCTCTTAAGAGTGTTACTAAATTTCCCCATCTAAATTATTCTTAGTTTTAATTTTTAGAAAATACTGTATGGATTCAATTTGAAGAAATAGGACCAGCAATTGTTTGAATATTAACTGAAGGCTGTTTGTTGTTTATTTCAGGATAGCCCAGATTTATGTGATGATTTTTATTCCGGCTCTTCCTGTAAGTGTCAAGGGTATTCTTTTTTTTTTTTAGATATATTTATTTATTTATTAGAGTGAGAGAGAGAGAGAGAGAGCAGAGCAGGGGGGAGGGGCAGAGAGAGAAGCAGGCTCCCGGATGAGCCGGGAGCCCGATGCGGGGCTCGATCCCAGGACCCCGGGATCATGACCTGAGCAGAAGGCAGGCACCCAACCAACTGAGCCAGCTAGGCACCCTGCGTTGCAATGCATGAAGCAGCTCATGAATGTGGTCATGTGTGTGCCTCCCTCCTTTGTTTTATCATAGTGCTCTTCCTGTATACATTCAACGAGTATGTCTTGGACCTGCCATCCCTCCTTTACTGATTCTCAGAGCTTGTACCACTTTGAGATCCCACAGCTTACACTGATCAGGAGAAGAACTTTCCTTCCTTATGCCATGGTTACTTTCGATTGCAAATTAATCAGGGTGTTTCCGGGGCTCCCCTGGGATCTGGGGAAGGTACCCCCAGCTAGCACCCTGGGAGCCATTCAGATGTCAAAGGAGTGAGCGGTTCCTGCTTCAGCCAGTTAGAAGTCGACTTGTCCGTTCATCGGGGAATCCTTTCTGGAAAATTTCAGACAGCGTCGGGGAGTCCTTTCTGGAAAATTCCAAACAGTTAGCATCCTAGCATTGGTTGGTGTGGCGCTGGTTCTCCAAATTTGAGGTCTCATCAAGAAGAAATATCTTCTTGAAAAACAGAACTGACAGTAACTGTTGGAATTACAATTATACTTTCATATTAACAAGAGGTGTTTTTCTATTTCATCTTACAGGCAGCATTCCTGTTCCAGCTGCAGACGAGGTACTTACAAAGTCAGGTACAGATTCGTTTTCTATTTTTACTCCACGGTACTGGAAATGTATAATAAATATTCTTAAGGAGTTTTCCATGAAAGCAATTCACAATTTTTTTTCCTGGAATTCTACCCAGAGCTCCTTGTTGGGGAGACGTGACATCTCGTAGATGGATTTTGTCCAGCTCAGGAGACGCCCGTCTCTGACTGTCAGATTCCTGCGCCCACCCCTGGTGTTACTGTGCAGTCCGCACGCTCCACCCCTTACCTCTTCCGTGAGCCACCTGCTTGCCTTCATGTGACTTCTGTCCACAGAAGCCGCTCTACTTTGATGGTGGCCAGCTCTGTTTAAACACATGGAGAATCTTAAAGAAAATGTTTATCCGAGGACCAGGGTAGAGTGGGCCACAGACCCAGAAGCAGCGAGGAGCTATGGCCCTGTAAAGCCCGGAGGGTTGGGTGGAACCTTCACCGCACGCCTGCTAGGGGCCTGGCCTGGGGGTGTTCTGTATGAGATGATTTCACGAACCCTCACCGCGGCCCTGTGGAGAAGTCACTTGGCCAAGAAGTGTCTCCCAAATGGTATTCCTGTGATGCCGCATGCCAGGAATCGAGTTGCTGTGCATGCGATCCTTCCTTCTCTTCTCTCTCTGTGATATCACCTGGGGCCCAGCGGGTCATTCAGAAGCATTTACACACTGCTGGTTGGTTGGGTTTTACCAGTTTATTATCAAAGGATATGGCAGAGAATGCCGACGAACACCCAGACGGCGAGGTCTGTGGGAAAGGGGTGCCATTTTCCCAGCACGCCCTCATGTTCACCAACCTGGAAGCTCTCCGAACCCTGTGCTTTTGGGATTTTTATGGAGGCTTCCTCACATAGGCAGGATTGACCATTTACTCTGTTCCCAGCCCCTCTCCCCTGTCTGGAAAATGAGAGATGGGCTGAAAAAGTCAAGCTTCTAATCATGGCTTGGTGTTTCTCGTGACCAGTTCCCATCCAGGAGCCCACTGAGAGTCCCCTCATTATGACAAAAGGCACCTTTGTCACCCAAGACATTCCAAAGGATTTAGGAACTCCGTGTCAAGAACCCATGTTGAAAACCCCATGTATTAGAACAAAGGATTCCCCTAGTGCTCTTATCACTGGGGAAATTACCAGGGATTTAGGAGCTCTGTGCTGGGAACCGGGGGCGGGGCGGGGGCAGAGACCAATATGTATGTTTTCCGTTATTTCACACCACCTAACTGATTAGCTCTTGAAAATGCTATTTGTTTTCTTATTTGTCTGGGGATTTTAGGGCATCATCATGCCGCAAGTGATCACTGGGATTGCAGCGAACGTGATCAACGTGGGCATGAATGCCCTCCTGCTCTATGCCCTGGACCTCGGCGTGGTGTAAGTAGTGACCCTCTCATTCCCCAAATCCTGAGTGTCTGCTGTGTGCTGGCTCCAGTCCCAGCCCCTGGGGGAGTGAGGCAGCCCTGGAGGGAGCACTCAGAGATGCCTCCATACGATAGGGTGGGGGCTGGTGCTCAGGGCACCGGGAGGGGCAGCCAGCTTAGGCTGTTGCAAGGAGTGAGAGGCTTAGTTGGGGGAGATGAGGGAGGATGCTGTGGAAGAAGTGATGTGTGAGCCAACACCTGCATGTCGGAGTGGAGTTAGCCTGAGGTGCCTGTGCGGATGGAGATGGGTGCCCCGAGCGAAGGCAGGAGGGGGCAGAGGACTGCAGGGATTCTCCTGCTCTCTCTGAGTTGTAAGAAACTGAGCCAATTCCATCTTTATGGAGGAATTGGGAGGGTCCCCCGTAGAAGGCAGTGTCAGATTGGACCTCTCACGGAGGCGCCATGCTGTTGGTCCATCCCTCGGTCGAACCTTCTGGTGCACTGGCCCAGAGCCAGTCTCCCTCACATGTGGCGGACGTGGTCCCACCAGCGCTTGGAGACCCAGCCCTGAGCCCTGGCAGTTTTTAGATGCTTTAGGGCAGCGTGGGTCTTTATAAATAAAAACTAGTTTAGTGGGTCATGATGGACACTTTAAAAAATGAGGTGTATTATGAATGAAATAAAACAAAATGAAATAGAATAGAATAGAAAATGAGAAGGTATGGGGGTATTTTCACGAGACGTTTGTTTCTGTGTGTGTGCGCCTGTGCGTACACATATTATTGTGGGTACCGGGTAGTGATAGGAAATTCATTTCTTACTGTTAGTTGCAGTAGGAAACATATATATAAAAGCCATTAAGTAAAGGACAGTGGAGAGGTGGAATAAAAGAATAATGAATGAAAAAATGTTGGTAACATCTTCCTTATGCCAGGAAACTGAAAGAGGCTTGGCTGTAAGAGTCAGCAGGCAGGTTTGCGAGTTGGTGATATCAACCCACGTAAACGCCTGAGTAGGGGGTCCGGGTTTCCCCTTCAGGTGCACATTACAGACCCTCTTTTCAAGGTTTCTTGAACAAAATAAATAAAAATCTTTTAAAAAAAAGTTTCTTGAACAGATTTACGAAGGACAGTTTGGGGGTAGTTGGGTAAGAGGAGAAGAACCCATGGGAATGGATTAATCAGTGATAAAATTCAAGGATTGGTCAGAAGAGTAAAGTGAAAAAATAGACAGTAAGCAGTCCCGGGCTCTCTGTGCATCGTTTTATTTGTGGGGTAAAATGTCATCTGTCGAAGATGCTCTGAGGTTATCTTGTAATAGCAAACAAATTTATTATAATCCTGGGAAATAAAACAACTATGAACCTTAGACCAGTATTTTGAACACAGTAGCTGTGTTTTGATACTCTATGTAACTAATTATGCGTAAGAATTTATCCGATGGGTTATTTCAGGCTGTGAGGACAAAGAATGGTGACAGATGTTTATGTTCTTTTGTTTTTTGGGTTGACGAATAGTCACATTTGGCTCTTCCACAAAATTCAGTGTTGGTGGAAAGAAAACAAGTCCATCGTAAGTGGGTGCTGTATCATTAAAAGATAGCCCACGGGTTCTAGGCTTTTCTAAAGACTGTGATTCTCTAATGAAGCCAAAGCTCTTCGGGGGTAGCCTGTTTCTTTGTACTTGGACGGAAGACACTCACAGGGAATGATCACGTTCTCTCCTTCAGAGGATCTGCCTGGGCAAACACCACTTCCCAGTTCCTCCTGTCTGCTCTTCTTTTCCTGTATGTGTGGTGGAAAAAAATCCACGTCGACACTTGGGGAGGTACGAGGACTTTGATTTCTTACATTTTGTTATTTATTATTCAGAAGGATGTAATTCTGGCTTGGGGAATTGTTTCCCTCCACAGAGAGTTGTTCTTTTTTTTTATTTTTAGATCTTTTGGAAAATTTAAAAATTACAGAAAATATTTAAATTAGTGGAAATAAAAATTACAGGTCAATATGAGATTTTTTAAAGATTTTATATCTATGAAGGCAGCTTTTGGTCATAGAAAACTGTTGGCAGCTGTTGGGTTGTAAGAATTGATACTTAATGAATTAAAATTGCGGATGCAAAAATCCTAACTGTTCTTTGCAATTTACCCTGCTACATTAAAGTGAAGTTGGATTAATGTCTTACCAACTCAAGTGAACAGATTGAACTCTCTTAAACAATCAGTACCACTTACAGGTTAGCTAAATTCCCTTAAATAGTTTAACGTGCATTTGTAAATTTAGTAAAATGGGTTTGTTTTGTTTTGTTTTCTAATCTTTAAAATTGTGCTAAGGTATATCTCATGTAAAACTTGCCGTCTTAACCATTTTAAGTGCTCTTCAGTACATTCACGATGTTGTGTAACCATCACCACCATCTATTTCAGAAACATTTCTATCACCCCAAACAGAAACCTTGTACCAGTTAAGCAATAACTCCCCGTTTTCCCTCCCTCCAGCCCCTGGTAATTCCAATCTACTTTCTGTTGATCTTGTACCTTGAAACTTTGCTGGAGTCATTCATTAGCCCTAGCGGCTTTCTTGTAGATTCTTTGGGTGTTTCTACATACAGGATCATGCCATGTGTGAATAGAGATCATTTTACTTCTTTCTTCCCAGTTTTGGTGCCTTTTATTTCTTTTCTTGATTCGTCAGTCTGATAGAACTTCCAGCACAATGTTGAATAGAAGTAGCAAAAGCAAGCATCTTCGTCTTGTTTCTAATTTCAGGGGGAAAGTTTTCAGTCTTAGGCATTGATATGATACGTGTGGGATTTTTCATAGAAGCGCTTCATCAGGTTGAGAAAATTTCCTCTATTCCTAGTTTGTTGAGTGTTTCTGTTCATAAAAGGCTGTTGGATTTTTTTTTCTGCATTAACTGAGATGAACACTATTTGTTTTTCCCCCTTCGTTTTATTAATGTGATGTATCGCATTGATTGGTGTTAGTCATTACTTGCATTTCTGGGATAAATCCCATTTGGTCACAGTGTACAATCCTTTGAATATGCTGCTGGGTGTAGTTTGCCAGTATTTTGTTGAGGATTTTTACATCCATATTCATAAGGGCTTTGCTCTGTGGTTTTCTTTTCTTGGGTTGTCTTAATCTGGCCTTGGTAGCAGGGGATGCTGGCCTCATAGAACGAGGCCATGAGTTCAGTAGTGTTACTTACTCTTCTCTTTTTTGGATGAGGTGGAGAAAGATTGGTGTCAGTTCTTCAGATGTTTGCTTTAATTCACCAGTGAAGCCCTAGGTCATGGACTTTTCTCTATTGGGAAATTTTCATCGCCTATTCAATCCCTTATTAAAGATTTGTTGAGATTTTCTATTTCTCTTGGGTCAGTTTAGGTGATTCCCGTGTTTCTAGGAATTTTGTCATGTCATCTCGTTATCTAACTTGTTTCCATACAGTTGTTCCTAGTACTCTCTTAAAATCCTTTTTATTAATGTGAAGTTGGTAGTAACGTCCCCACTGTTATATTGGATTTCAGTTATTTGAGTCTTCGCTCTTTTTCTCTTGGTCAGTTTAGCTAAAGTGTTGTCAATTTCGTTGATCTGTTTTGGGTTTTTTTCCCCCAAAGAAACAATTTTTGGTTTCTTCTGTTACTTTTTTGTTCTGTATTTCATTTATCTCTGCTTTAATCTTCAGTATTTATGTTGTTCTAGCTTTGGGTTTCATTTGCTCTTTTTCTGTTTTGAAACTCAATGTGTAAGATTAGTTTTATCAATTTGAGAGCTTCTCTCTTTTTTGACGTTAGGCATTTACAGCTATAAATTTCTGTTGGAGTGCTCCTTTGCTGCATCTCATCTGGTGTGTTATGTACTTGTTTTCTTTTGTTTCAGAGTATTTGCTGATTTCCTGTGGGTTTTTTTTTTTTAAACATTATTTACTTATTTATCTGACAGAGAGAGAGATAGCAAGAGAGAGAGCACAAGCAGGGGGAGTGGGAGAGGGAGAAGCAGGCTTCCCACTGAGCAAGGAGCCTGATATGGGGGCTTGATCCCAGGACCCTCTCTGGCCTCGTAAAAAGAGTTTGGAAGTTTTCTTTCCATTTTGATTTTTTGAAACAGCTTCAGAAGAATAGGTATTAATTCTTCTTTAAATGTTTGGTAGAATTCCCCTGGGAACCCATCTGGCCCTGGGCTCTTGTGTGTTGGGAGATTTTTTATTATGGCTTCAATTTCCTTGCTGGTGATGCGTCCGTTCAGGTTTTCTCTTTCTTCCTGGTTCAGTTTTGGTAGTTTATACGTGTCTAGGAATGCATCCATTTCTTCCAGATTGTCTAATTTGTTGGCATATAGTTGCTCATAATATGTTCTTACAATTGTTTGTATTTCGTTGGTGTTGGTTGTGATCTCCCCTCTTTCATTCACAATTTTATTTATTTGGGTCCTTTCTCTTTTTGATAAATCTCGCCAGGGGGTTATCAATCTTATTAATTCTTTCAGAGAATCAGCTCCTAGTTTCGTTGATCTGTTCTGCTGTTGTTTTGGTTTCTATTTCATTGATTTCTGCTCTAATCTTTATTATTTCTCTTCTCCTGCTGGGTTTAGGGTTTATTTGCTGTTCTTTCTCCAGCTCCTTTTAGGTGTAGGGTTAGGTTGTGTATGCGAGGCCTTTCTTATTTCTTAAGAAAGGCTTGTAGTGCTATATACTTTCCTCTTAGGACCGCCTTTGCTGCATCCCAAAGATTTTGAACAGTTGTGTTTTCATTTGCACTTGTTTCCATGAATTTTTAAAAATTCTTCTTTAATTTCCTGGTTGACCCATTCATTATTTAGTAGGATGCTCTTTAGCCTCCATGTATTTGAGTCCTTTCCAAATTTCCTCTTGTGATTGAGTTCCAGTTTCAAAGCATTGTGATCCGAAAATATGCAGGGAATGATCCCAATCTTTGGGTACCGGTTGAGACCTGATTTGTGACCCAGGATGTGATCTATTCTGGAGAATATTCCATGTGCACTCAAGAAGAATGTGTATTCTGTTGCTTTGGGATGGAATGTTCTGAATATATCTGTGAAGTCCATCTGGTCCAGTGTGTCATTCAAAGCCCTTATTTCCTTGTCGATCTTCTGCTTAGATGATCTGTCCCTTTCAGTGAGGGGGCTGTTAAAGTCCCCTACTATTATTGTATTATTATGGATGTGTTTCTTTGATTTTGTTATTAATTGGCTTGTATAATTGACTGCTCCCATGTTAGGGGCATAAATATTTACAATTGTTAGATCTTCTTGTTGGATAGACCCTTTAATTATGATATAGTGTCCTTCCTCATGACTTATTACAGTCTTTGGTTTAAAAGCTAATCTGTCTGATACAAGGATTGCCACCCCAGCTTTCTTTTGATGTCCATTAGCATGATAAAGAGTTTTCCACCCCCTCACTTTCAACCTGGAAGTGTCTTTGGGTCTAAAATGAGTCTCTTGCAGACAGCATATCGATAGGTCTTGCTTTTTTATCCAATCAGATACCCTGTGTCTTTTGATTGGGGCATTTAGCGCATTTACATTCAAAGTAACTATTGAAAGATATGAATTTAATGCCATTGTATTGCCTGTAAGGTGACTGTTACTGTGTATTGTCTCTGTTCCTTTCTGGTTTATGTTGCTTTTGTGCTCTTTGCTTAGAGGACCCCTTTCAATATTTCTTGTAGGGCTGGTTTGATGATCACAAATTCTTTTAGTTTCTGTTTGTCCTGGAGGTTTTTTTAAATTAATTTATTTTTTTTTATCACTCCTTCTATTTGGAATGACATCCTAGCTGGATAAAGTATTCTTGGCTGCATATTTTTCTCATTTAGCACCCTGAATATATCATGCTAGTCCTTTCTGGCCTGTCAGGTCTCCGTGGATAGGTCTGCTGCCAGTCTTATATATTTCTACCCTTGTAGGATACAGAGCTCTTGTCTTGAGCTGCTTTCAGGATTTTCTCTTTGTCTCTGAGATTTGCAAGTTTCACTATTACATGTTCGGGTGTTGACCTATTTGTATTTTGATTTTGAGGGGGGTTCTCTGTGCCTCCTGGATTTTGATGCCTGTTTCCTTCCCCAGATTAGGGAAGTTCTCTGCTATAATTTGCTCCAATATACCTTCTGCCCCTCTCTCTCTTTCCTCTTCTTCTGGGATCCCAGTTATTCTAATATTGTTGCACTTTATGGTATCATTTATCTCTCGAATTCTCCCCTTGTAGTTTATCTTTTTCTCAGCTTCTTTATTCTCTATCATTTGGTCTTCTATATCACTAATTCTCCCTTCTGCCTCATTTATCCTAGCAGTTAGAGGCTCCCATTTTTGATTGCATCTTATTAATAGCCTTTTTGATTTCAACTTGGTTAGATTTTAGTTCTTTGATTTCTCCAGAAAGGGATTCTCTAGTGTCTTCTATGCTTTTTTCAAGCCTAGCTAGTATCTTTATAATCATTATTCTGAACTCTAGTTCCGACATCTAACTAATGTCCATATTGATTAGGTCCCTGGCAGTCGGTACTGCCTCTTGTTCTCTTTTTTGAGGTGAGTTTTTCCGTCTTGTTGTTCTGTTCAGAGAAGAATAAATGAACGAGAGAACAGAATACTAAAATGGCAACAACCACCCCAGAGAAATATACACTAAACAAATCAGAAGAGACCCGAAACCAGGGGGAAAAAAAAAAGAAAAAAGAGAATATAATCAGACAGGTGAGCAGAATAGAGCAATACACTGGATTCTGTGTATATTTTGGTCTGTTTTTTAGAAAACTAGATCCCAAAATTGTAAAGAAAGACAAACTTATACATAGAAAGATAAAATTAAATACATTGAAAAGATAGAATGTAACTATAAAGATGAAAATTTTTTTTATT